TACTCCATTTGTAGTTTTTATAAAATACTGGCTCTTTCCCCATGATGTGCAGTTCCTCCTTGTAGCTTATTTTATACCTAGTAGTTGGCGCTTCTTACTCCCCAGCCCCTATTTCCTCTCCCTGCCGGGAACCGCTGGTTTGCTCTGTGAGTCCGCTTCTTTTCGTTACCTTCACTAGTTTGTTGTATTTGTTAGATTTCACATACAAGTGATACCATGTGGTATTTGTTTTCCTCTGTCTAAGTCACTTCACTTATTATAATGCTCTCCAAGTCCACCTGTGTTGCTACAAATGGTGAAAATTCGTTCTTTTTTATGGCTGAGTAGTATTCCATTGTATATAGATACCCACAACTTTATCCATCCGTCAATGGACACTTAGGTTGCTTCCATATCTTGGCTGTTGTAAATAATGCTGCTGTGAACATTGGGGTGTGTGTATCTTTCCGAATTAGTGTTTTTGTTTTTCTACAATATATCTTAAATACAAGAGGACAGGAAGTCGAAGTGTCCAGGGTTCATTATCTGACAAATACATACTGAGTCAGAAGGACGAGCCACCCCCTTGGGGTGCAGGGGGCGCAGTGGTGGGCTAGGCCCGGGCCTGCCGTCCGGCTGCTCGCGTCTGAAGGAGGAGACGTGCAGAAACCAGCAGCTGCGGCACCGACACAGGGCGATGGGGAGGGCGCAGCTGGAGGCCTCGGAGGATGGGCTGGGCAGACGGTTGGTCGGTCAGGTTTGCTTCTGCGCCTCTGAGCTGTAGGCCGTCGTCCAGGGACCCTCTGCTCTGTCGCAGGGCCTCTTCCGAGTAGCGCCGTCGGCCTCCAAGCTGAAGAAGCTGAAAGCCGCCCTGGACTGCTGTGTGGTGGACGTGCAGGAGTACTCGGCCGACCCCCATGCCATCGCAGGTGCGCCCGCGGCCCTTGTGCTGGTGGGGGGCTCCCGGGGAAGGGGCGAGCGTGGAGGGTGTGCAGCCATATGTCAGGGACACTTAAGAGGGGGCCCCTCTCCAAGCTCCAGATGTGTCCACTCGGGGCCCCTTTTTCGACCTGGTCACTTAGGCCCTGGAAGGACAAAGGGTTGATGTTGGGAGACACATTGTGGGGGGAGGGCAGGGCGATTGCCAGCCCTGGTCCCACTGCCACGCCAGAGCTCCCGATCCACGCATGGGAGCTGCCGATTGGCCTTGTCACGTGGTTTGGAGAACCGTCCCCACAGGGGATACTGGCTGCGAGAGCCTGTCTCTGCCACGTCAGAGTGGCTCACGGCTCGCGTGGTGTTTCCCGCCCAGGGGCTTTGAAATCTTACCTCCGGGAGTTGCCAGAGCCTCTGATGACCTTTGAACTCTATGACGAGTGGATTCAGGCTTCCAAGTGAGTCACACCGCCTTTTGGGGAGCGCCTCGTGGGGTGGGGTCTGCTCGGAAGTATTCACTGAGATTATGCAGCATGCAGCCTGTGACGCAGCAAGTCCCTTGCTTGGTACTTGTCGTGGGACCCGCTTGTCCGTGTGCCCAGAGAGACGTCCTTGTGCATGGATGTCGGCTGCGCTGTTACTTTGAATGGCAGAGGGAAGAATGGTTAAATAAACTGCGGTGTATCCACATCGTGACATGTTCAAAAAATTGGCAGCACTCTTAACGCTAACATGTAAAGGTAGATTTATTTTTGAGTGAAATAAAACAAGCTAACAGGGACACCCAGGAGAGTCTCTTGTTTTAAAAGGAAGAAAACACCCAGCACGCTCTAAACAATACAGTTTTAAGAGGCCTCTATACCTGTGTGAACGCATGAAAGAAGGTTCCGGAAGGGCCCCCGCAGGCAGATGGCAGCAATTCCTTCTGGGGGAAAGTGCAGGACAAGGGAGTGGTCAGAGAGGTCTTGACCCTCATCTGTAATAGTTAGAAATACAGCTGCCTGGCGCTTTGTACAGACCCTCCTGTAAACAGCTTGCGCCGACGCCACGAGGGAAGCCCTTTTATTAACGCCCTTTTACAGATAAGGAAAGAGGTTCTTGGAGATTCAGTAGCTGACCCAAGACCACAGGCAGGTTGGAGCTGGTTCTCCCAAGACAAACCCTTTTTGTCAAGCTTTGGCCAGATGACGATTAAATAAGATTTGTCACCTTCTGTTTCTACATGAGACCTTGGGTGCTCAGTTCAGGGTCCTGGTAAACGCCTGTGTTGCAGGATGCTCACCTCTTCCTCAAGGCAGAACCCAGGGAAAGGGGAGTTCTTCTCGCCTGGGCCAGGATTGGAGGAAGGACTTCAGGGCACCCGGCAGTGACCACTGCCCCGCCTTGGGCCCCGGATCAAGCGATCAGAGCTGGGCCTCTCCTGCTGGCATGTGCTTTTCAGTTTTTCTCCAGAAAAAGGTTCTTTTGAGCTTAAGGCCTTCCTACCATGTAAGCCTTGGTGTAGATTTTCATGAGAAGTATATTAAAAAGTATTGTCCTATAAGTAATTTCTTTTAATTCTTAGACGGTTTATAAATAAAGAGCTCCTTAGAGCAAACATTTTTTTAACTGTTCACATCCACTGCTTTTTTGTTTGTTTTTTGTAGATTAGAGAATCTTTTGGTCATGGAAATTTTCCGTCTCTGAGTGATGTCTTGAAGGGTCAGATTTCCTTATTTCTCTATGAGTTCATGTGTTTACTTATTCAGAAGGTGTTTATTGAGCTTCTGTTATGTGCTAGATGCCAAGAAACTTAATGTGCATTAAATATGCCTGTGGAGCTGGGCGATCAGCTGCCGCCGTGGTGCGGACGCAGGGTTGAACTCCTGACTGGCGTCCCGTGTCTTGTTTCTGGACAGAATTGCCCTCCTGGCCTCACCTGCGGTGCTGGCACACATTCACCCGGGACCTGGAGCGGGTGCGGGGAGTTTTGTTAAAATAGCACAGGCAAGACAGAAAGAGAACGTAGCAGGACGATTAGTAATAACCAGACATTTGAATTGTCACAGCTTGCTGGTGTGGTCACTGATGACGGCTGACTCCCTTTTCTCAAATGTCACGAGGGCTGGTTAGTGTGAAAGCCGGGGAGACTTCACTGGTTCACGCTCACCCGATGGCTTTTCCTGTTAATTTCCCAGCATTCAGGAGCAGGACAAGAGGCTGCAGGCTCTGTGGAACGCTTGCGAGAAGTTGCCCACGGCCAATCACAGCAACATCCGGTGAGTGGACACTGGACACTCGGGGGCAGGGACATTTAAGCCTCAGACACATGGTTCCGGCCTGAGGGCGTGGGTGAGTGGCAGGCGTGGCATTTTATGGTGCCCGAAGAGTTGTCTCCTGTCCACCTCAAGCCACCCCAGGAGGTTGTGAATGACCGCTTCACAGATGAGGAAACAGACAGAAAGGGGCTGTGCGACTTCACAGGCCACCCGACCTGTGTGGCTGATGCAGTTCAGTTCTTGGGTTTTCGAAGAACAAAGATGAACGCAAGGTCTTTTCAGATATCAGGGGTTTGTTGTAAAGATAGGAGCTCGCGGGCGCCTGGGAGAGGCTGAGCCAGCCCCGAGCAGGACTTGGCAGGTGTGTCCTGGAGCTGGTCTGCACCGAGAGGGCCCAGGACAGGCGTCTGGGGCTCCCCTCGTCACCGGCGGTTTTCCCCGTGCCGTCTCATCGCTCGCTGCTGCTCTGGGGATCTTCCGCCTTCCCAGGTTCCTCTCCTTCCCACTTCCTGCTTCCTCATCACTTTGTCCACCCTGAGCTGCTCCTGGCCCCGCCTCTCCCCGCCCCCACCTCCTTGGAGCTTCTTTAGATGCAGATTTTCAGCATTAGCTTCTCTGGCCATCTGCCTGATTCTTTATTTTCCTGTTGAAAAATCCCAGGAGTGGAGGGAGGGTAGAGCTCAGTGGTAGAGTGCCAGCTTAGCATGCATGAGGTCCTGGGTTCAATTCCAGTACCTCCATTAAAAAAAGACAATAAAAATAAATAAACCTAATTACCTGACCACCCCCCCCCAGAAAAAGAAATCATAAAAAAAAAATCCCAGAAGCCTCAAAAAACGTAAACATAGAATTACTGTAGATCCAGAAATCCCACTTCTGGACGCACACCCACAAGCTTTGAAAGTAGGGGCTGGGTTGTCTACACCTACACTCACAGCAGCATTATTCACAGTAGCCAAGAGCTGGAAACAGCCCAGATGTCCAGCGATTTCATGGGTGGAGAAAACACACACAAGTTGCAATATTCAGCCTTGAAATGGAAGGACGTCTGAATCTTGCCTCAATGTGGGTGAACCTTGAAGACGTTACGCTAAGTGAAAGGAGCCAAACACAGGAGAAACCCTGTGTGATTCCATGTGCATGAGCTCCTGGGAGGGGTCCAGCCCCCAGAGACGGGAAGCGGAGTGATGGTGGCCCGCGGCTGGGGGAAGGTAGTGGTGCTGGGGGGTGGGGTCATCAGCCAGGACAGAGTTGTGGTTTGGAGTGACGACAAAATTCAGGAGACAGACAGTGGTGATGGTTGCATAAGTGTGAAAGTACTTAATGCTACTGAGCTTCACACTTAAAAATGGTTACAATGGTAAATTGTATATATCTATATTTAAAAACCACAGTTTAAAAAAAAATTCCAAGGGCGAAAGCCAGACCAGCACAGCTTGTCCCGTGTTGCTGACTGCAGCCCTCGGCCCCTGGCCAGCCCTGGATTGGGCGTCTCAGCTCAGACCCCATGTCCCGGTCCAGGCGGGTGTGGCCTCTCGGACAGACAGTATGACCTGGTCCGAGAGGCTGTGGGTGGAGGTGGCGCAGTGACAGCGTAGGGACCACGTGGTCCTGAAGGAGCCGCTGGACTGTGATCCGGGCAGAACGGAGCTAAACCCCCCGCCTGTGTGGCTGAGGGTCCGGGCCCCCGCCGAGCCTGGTGGGTTTTGGGGTGCTGTGGGGGAGCTCTTTCTGGGCTTTATTTGGGCATAGCTCACGCATTGTCTTTTTTTTAAAATAATAGCTTTATTAAGATACAACTCATACATCATTGTCCCTTTTGAAGTGCGCAGTTGAGTGGAGTTTGGAGTATTTGCACAGTCGTGCAGCTGTCACCACTTCTACCTTTAGAACATTTTTGTCACCCCCCAGAAAGAAATCCTGCTCCCACTGGCAGTCACTCCCCGTTTCTGCCCCACCCCCGGCCCCTTGCAGTCTCTCCTC